ATGTATAGCTAATGACTACATAACAAGCAACAATGCCAGACAAGCGATACCTTCTTTTGAGTTGTTGGCCAGGGTGGCTAAAGGGATTCCCAGGTAGTAACCCAGCATAGAACTCGGAAAATGAACAGCAGGCTGCAATATTATCCAAAGGAATACTGACAACTGATTACCACTAGATGAGGAACAGCTGACCCTCCTAAAACAAAGACCTCTAGATAGGCTGACTAGATTCACCAGAAGGGCAAGTAGTGGGGAATGGCTGTGGCTGCCAACAACACGGCAGACAGTAGCAGGGCTATCAGAGTATAAGGGCTCTAGTGGGGGGAGGAAGGCTATGGGAGGGTGCTATCTGGAAAGTGGGTGTAAAATTAAATAAATAATAAATAAATAAAATTCAAAAAATAACATTAAAATGTATTCCAAAAATTTTCACAAAATTTTTTAGAAAGTATATATTAAAGGTAATATTTGTAAGAAAAGATTTTCTGATGATGCTTTATAGCAACCTAGGAGGAAACTTGATACTCTCTGTGTGAAGACATATACAAAGGGTCAGTAAAACAGAGTGGCCCTATTTGAGACTTTAGAAAATAGATTTTCTAGTCAAAAGGGACTCTGTAGTAATCAGGATGGCTAACCTTGAAAAGTGGGAACTCTGTCCGGCACCTTTCTTTTTGGAAAGAAGACCTGTCAACCCTAATTGCTTTGGTTACTTGGCTTTTGGAGAGAGGCAAAGATCATCTTTCTTTCAAAGCCTTCTCCTAACCTTGGGCTGGTAAAATCCTCCTCCACGCTGCTTTCACATCTTTGTTTCTCATGGTGTAGATAAGAGGATTGAGCACTGGTGTGATAACACAGTAGAAGAAGGACATGGATTTTGCCTGAGTGTTGTTGATTTGAGGTTGGAGGTACATGTAGATGGATGGGCCATAGAACAAGGCAACGACCAACAAATGAGAGCTGCATGTGTTGAATGCCTTGCGCCTTCCCTCAGCTGAAGGTAACTTCAGAAGAGCCCTAGCAATGAAACTATAGGAGAGAAGAACAATCAAAGGAGCCACTATTCCAAAAGGGATAGATCCCAGTGCCAAGGACAGGTCACTAACAGCGGTATCACCACATGCCAGCTTCATTAGAGCAGGTATCTCACAGAAGAAGTGGTCTAGTGTGTTTTTTCCACAGAGAGGCAGCTGAAGTGTGAGTGTGGCTTGGAGCAGAGAATTGGCCAGGCCACTGGCCCAGCATGCAGCTGCCAGCCATACACATGTCCAGAGATGCATGATGAGAATATACTGAAGGGGACAGCAGATGGCCACATAGCGATCAAAGGCCATCACTGCCAGCAAGGCACATTCAGTGCAGCCTGTCCAGGTGAAAATATAGACCTGTGTGATGCAACCCCAAGCAACAATTTCACTCTCTGTGCCACAGAGGTTGGCCAGCAGCTGTGGGACAGTGGTGCAGGTGACACAGAGGTCCAACACAGAGAGGTTGTCCAGGAAGAAGTACATGGGTGTCTGGAGTATGGGCTCTGCTAGGGAGAGAATGATGATGGAGCTGTTTCCCATCAGGGTAAAGATGAAGGAGACCAAGACCACTCCAAAGAGGGGGATCTCCAGCCATGGATGATCTGAGAATCCCAACAAGACAAATGTAGTGGGGAAACTCATGTTTTGTCTTTCCATGTCCACCTGCATTATATATGCCTGGAAAGAAAATGATAGATTTTGAAGACAAACAAGACTTTTCCATTTCAGTAACTCCATGTCAGTGTCCTCAAAACTCCTAGTACATTGGTACAATATTCTCCATAATCATTTTGAGTAGTTGTCTAATACCTAGCTGAATAGCTAACTTTTAGGTATGGTTAAAGCATGACGACTCTAAACCCAACAAAAATTCAACAAGAGGGTCTCAATAACTCAATAAGAATCTGTTTATGTGGATCTTTCAATCTGCTTCTGTTTCTTCCTGGTGATTTCCAATAAAAAAAATCTTACCCCAAATATTCTTTTTGTCTTCTATTTTGTTTGTACTGCTCTCATGTCACATGGAATTGGTTATGAAGCTTTTGTATCTGGCATTTATTTTCAGAATGTATTTAAAAGTAATATATATTTCCTTTAAGTGCAGAGAGGTGAAGATGCTGGGGATGCAAATGGCAAGCTAGATGTTGATATTTGTAATGCTGACACATAGCTCTTTGAACCACTTCTACTTGGGGAGACCATGAAGTGAAATTAATTTTAGGAAATTATCTGCTCCCCCTTTACCCCAATTTTTATCATGGTAATCAGCACATAATATTAAATTCATTGTTAACCATATTAAATACAGGTTTGTTCTATTAAGTACATTTATAAATATATTTATGTTCAACTCCCACCACTATTAATCTTTAGAGTTTTTCTAGCCATCAAAATCAAACTAGGTCTAGTAATAAATACTTCTATGCTCACCCTAAACTCAGACCTTGACATTCAACATCTATTTGCTTTCTGTTAATTTCAATCAGTGTAAAGGCCTCAGAGGAACACCATAACACAGTATTTATAATCTTGTCACTGGGTTTTTCACTTACGCTATGTCATCCAGCTCATCTGTATTCTATCTAGCCTATGTCATAGTAGCCTGCCTATGTGAAGGCTGAGTAACACTGAATTCTTATCATTTTACAGCTGGGTGCGGTGGCATATGCTTTTAATCCCAGTGCTTGGGAGGTAGAGGCAGGCTGATGCCTGTGAGTTCAAGGCCAGTCTGGCTACAGGGAAACCCTGTCTCAAAAAGACCAAAAACATTATTTATCACTTTATATGTATGTGTGTATTGCCTGCATGTATGCACCTATGTCGTGCAGTGCCAGTGGAGGTCAGAAGGTAGTGTTGGATCCCGTGGAACCAGAGTTATAGATAGTTGTTAGCCACCATGTGGGTGCTGGGAATTGAACCTGGGTCCTCTGCAAGAGTAGCCAATGCTCTTGTCCGCTGAGCTATCTCTCCTACCCTAATAACACTGAATTCTATGTATGCACTTCATTTTCTTTAATATTCTTAATTACCTTTGAATGTTTTTATGTTTTGGTTATTATGAATAATGTTACTATGAGCATTGTTTTACAAATTCTTTTTTGAGACTCTGCTTTCAATTCTTTTAAGTGAATACAGAAAAGTATATTCTGGAGCCTATAGAAGAAACTGTATTTTTCTTTTAGTGCTGTGTTTCAGAACTAATGTTCATTTTACATTCTTAAAAACACTGCCTAAGGGTTCTAATTTTTTCCCATTTTCACCAACATTTGTTATTTTGTAATATTAAGTTTGTGATGCAAAATATGCATATTCAAAATTTCCTACATATAAAATGTCACTTCTCTTTGGTGACTTTAAATTTCTGTTTTAGGTTTTTGCCAGTATGATTTGATTATATTGACTTCTTTGAATGTTACACTGTCATAAGCTTATCAAGTCTTGGAACATAGGTTCTTCCCCTATCCCCTCTATCCTTCTCTCTTTTTTTCCCAAAGACTCCAACAGTACTGTTATTCTAGTTGATTTTCCCACAGTTCCTTAATGCATAATGTTTCTCAAATATTTATCAATGTATTCTTTAATTTAATGATTAATATTGCTCTAACTTCCAGCTTTCCATTTCATCTATTTTGTGCTGAAATCTGTCTGTTAATTTCTCTAGTGTTCAGCTGGTCATGGTGATGCACACCTTTAATCTCAGCATGTGGGAGGCAGAGACAGGCAGATTTCTGTGAGTTCAAGGGCAGCCTGGCCTACATGGTGAGTTTCAGGCCAGCCAGGGCTACAAAGACCCTATCTCAAAAAATAAAATAAATAAAATAAAAACTCATCTAGTGTTTGTATTATTATTTGGTAATTTCCTTCTGGCTTATTTTATTTTTCCCATGTTTTTATTGATATTTCCACTTTATTGATGCATTAGTCTCCTTTTATTTAGAACTTTTCCCCCACATAGTTTCATTTACCCATCATCCACTGCAGTCCAAATGTAGTAAATGAAATATTCCAGAATTAACCAAGTCAAAGGTTCAAATAACTGTTGTTTTCATATATTTTTTAAGTTATATGGAGTATTGTTGCAATTTTAGGAATAGCTGTTCTCCTGGAGTGGTAACCTGGCTAGTGTCATCAGATACTTCCCAACAGGCATGAAACTTTACTTTCAAAGAGGACTACAAACAAATCTTCCTGGAGTGTATGCACAAGAGGACCCAGCTTTGGTACAAGGAGCCTTTCATTAGGTGGTACGACTGTGGACACATCCTTGTGTTTTGTGTACCCTCTTGCTTTTGCCTGTGCCTATCTGGCATCTGATGTTGGCAAAGTAGAAGCTGTAAGAAAATTCGAAGACCTTGGTGACTTCCTGTTTAGGATATACAAATCTTGTAAGGTAAAGGGTTACCAATATTTTAATGCGCTTTATGAATTATTATTATTTACCATGTTGCCTACTTGATATCTATGACACTGCAAAGGGAAATGTTTCCAGATCCCAAATATACTTACTTTATCAGTTGTCAGCTTGACTGCACAATGTGTCACTGCTGTTGTTGGCTTGACTTCTTATACCCAGGACACTGTTTAGTAACCCATGATGTTGCAGTACAGATGCAAAGAAACTGATATCAGGTACATAGGCATGCTTCACTCCTGAAGGAAGGTTGCAAAGAGTTTTTCAAGGGTATAGTGTACAGTGTTTTCAGAAGCATAGATGATGCTTTTGGTGCTTGTCTCTTATAAGAAAATTAAGAGGTTCTAAGTATAGATAGCACACTGGGGTCCTATAGTTCATGATATACTATATTTTATCAATAACTAGGATAAATAATCTCAAAATCTTTAAACACAGGTAATTATAAGAAGGTGGAAATGTCAGTTACCTTTATTTGATCGGCATACATTTATTGATATATCATACTGTGTCCTATAAATATGTAATTATTTAATTAAAAAAATTG